GGGAGGGGCTCACCCCGGCCTGCGGGCCTCTGTGGGGACCCTGTCACTGACGTTGGTCCGTGTGTCTAAGTCCAAGCAGAGAGCCCACCCCCGACCCCGAGGCTGAGGCCCCTGGTGACCCCGTCCCAGCTGATCCCGGGCAAGCCACAGGGTCCACTCGGCGATGGTGGCGAGGCAACCCAGGCTTGGCGGTTGTGGAAGGGAGGCACCCCTGACCAGGGGAGGCCGACACTCGCCCTAGAGCAGGGACTTTCTGGGGTCAGGGGCCTGGGGAGGTGGTGGGCTCCCCGTCACCGGGGCCGCGGTCACCTGGTTCTTGCTGGCCCGCCGTCACTATGGCTCTGGCTGAGGTGGACCCTCCCAGTCCTTGGAGACTCGGCATGGCCGGAGACCACCCTACCCCTCTCCTGCAGCTGCCACCGAGGCTGGGGCCCTGGGGCTCTCCCTGCTTTGGGGCTCTAATTCTCCTGTATGCAGCCCTCCTGGCCCCTGGGTTCACCGCCTCTGGCCCTCTCCCACTCTGGCCTTCAACGTCTACCTTGAATGCGCGCCTCGCCTGCTCTCACGCCTCCCATGGCTGCCTACTCTCCCCAGTCGAGGTCCAGCTTCCCGGCCTGTGTCCAGGCTCCTCTGTGACCCATCCCGGGCCTCCTCCTTGTCCTCGTCCACTCAGGCTGTCTGGAGCTGCCCTGACCTCACCTCCCGGGGGCACCTCAGAGGGCAGCCCGATCCCCGACCCTCTTCTCGGGGTGTTCCCAGCCAGAGATGGCGACAGCCCTGCGTGGAGACGAATCCCATCTTCTTCCCTGTGTCGCTGCATCCCAAGGAAGAACTCTCCTGAGCCTTGGTTTCTCCGCCTGTCAACAGAGACCACGACTGCCAGGCCTGTCGGGCTGCTGGAAACAGGCCAATGCCCACCACCGCGGGGCTGCTGGGCACTTGGGCGCTGGGCGCAGCCCTGCTCTTTGCCCCCTGCCGGCTGCCATGGTCTCCAGCGTGACCCCTTGGAGGCCGGACCTCGGGCTCTCTGCTTCCGCGGGCGCCGGCCCGGGCCAGGAGGCTGACTCATGCGTAGGCGAGGGGGCACGACAGCACAGCCTCTGTGGCTATTTATAGCTCCGGGCCAGGCTCAGGCCTGCGAGTTGGAAGGACGGGTTCTCTCCCTGTTCACCGCCCCCAGGACCGGGGGCTCGATCCCCACCCGTGCACCCCACGCCCGGACAGCAGCCCCCCTGCCTCGGGCCTAGCCTTTGCGAGAGGGGGTGGTGGGTGGCACCCGCTGCGTGATCAAGTGTTGGGGACGTGGGAGGCTGAGCGAGCCGGGCTGGCCCCCGGCCTCCTGGGTTGCCCGTGGTCTCCCTCTTCAGAGAATCCTGGGTGTCCCGAGGTGGGCAAGGACAGATTTAGAGGCCAAGCTGCCTCCATGGCAGGGAGAGAAGGACCCGTCACCCCGACCTCAGCTCCCAAGCCGGCAGGGTCTGCATGTGTCCACCCCGAACCTTCAGGGCGGACCCTGCGTGGCAGCCTGGGTGGCCCTGCAGACACGAGCGCCACTGTGGCAGGTGGTGGGCTGTATCTGTGGCTGGGAGAGGGGGTGACTCGCCAAGGAGCTGGGGGCCGGGGGGGAAAGGCTGGGTGGAGCCTGGAACTCGGCTCCGTCAGGCTCTGAAGCCACAGACCAGGCTGCAGGATGGCTGGCCGCCTGGGGACCCTCCTCTCTGTCCCTGGCTGTCTGGAGGTCCAGCCTGGGGACCGTCTGCTGGTCCTGTCGTACGGACCTCCTCTCAACAGAACTGCAAGGGACGACACGCACGAGCCCTGTGGC